GTTCTCATTTCTTACTAGATACAAACCAGAAAGCTGTGCTGAGGCTTATGTGGAGAAAGATTCATATTGAAGCAATTGATTCCACATCTGGTGAGTCGTTGTGTTTTACTTGTGTCTTGTTGGAGAGGTTATCAGTTACTTGATGTTACCTGAGCTAGGAATAATGGCACACAATGCAGGCAGAAAATTAAAACAAATAGAGATGTTATTGTTTCACGGATCAGCTATTGCACTGTATGGTGTTCTTGGACACAACATGTTGCTCTTNACAGTGCCTCCCTCTACCCCTGGGTGAATAACAGGGGCTAACCCTGCAACAGACTGGCATCCCATTTAAAGTGTCTATACAGGCAACAGGATTTTTTGTGGTTTTGGTATCTCAATAATGTGTAAAAAAATATTCTAAGAAAAAAAATTGGATTCCGACATTTTTAATGCCCAATGATCTAACTTAAGTTCCCGCTTCAGCCACGCCCAATGGAGTTGACCATGAGCCAGTGCAGAAAAAGAGTCTGGGTTTCTGAATGGGTTGTGACGTCAAGTTAGGAATTGCCAAATCCTGCTCATTCAGGTCACTGTTGTTTCAGTAGTGGGTAGGAGTTTTCGTTGACAAAAAGCCAGCAAACCGAAGTTGGTGAAACAATGCGGTTGTCAATCAAGCAAAATAAAAACTTGAAGCTTTGAGATATTCCTGAAGTGACATCATTCGTCACCAATCTTTCATTACGCAGTCAACTTCATTGGACGTGCTCAAAGCGGGAAATTCAAAGCTTGATTTCATGGCAAAAAAGCACCGAAATTATTTTTTTGTTTTGGTTTGAATACATTTTTAGATTTTATAAAGATACCAAAACCACAAAAACCCTGTTGGCCATATAGACACTTTAAGTGGGGGAGGGGAGTAGAAAGATATCTCATCAGTTGATGCTTAACAGACACTGGGATAAGATGCGGTAGTTTGGATCACTTGGCCTGATGAAGACTAACCTGTGATCAGGCGTGTTTTTTTTTGGAAAGGAAAAAGGAAGAATGCGAAAAAAAATACACCCTCCTTCCCGGCGTCTTAATATAAGGGAAGGGTGGTATGATTGCAGGTTAGATGAAGACCTTACCTTGCT